ATCATTACCTTTCAAAATCTATAAAAAWTCGAGTATGTTTAACGTGGAGGTTGTTACGTTTGACAAAAAGATAACACGAAGAGTGAGCGTAGGTATATCTTGGCGGATATCCTTATCGGACCTACCTACACGCGTTTTATAGTACCTATTTATAATGGCAACCGTTTGTTTTACACGCGTGTAAATTGTAAACGTTCATACAGCTTTCAGTGTCTCACTTTATAGTTTATGCACACTTTTAAATAAACAATATACGCATACAAATCATATATAGGTAGGTACTTCTAATGTGCACGCGTGTATAAATCAAATTCATTTGGTGTATACATATACACGAATACTCGTTTAACATATTATTATGCGTACGATTTGCACAAAAGAGCACGAGCGCAACCCACAYATACACACACCACTYACGAGGCAACAGTTATTAAATTGTTATTCTTTGAAGACGATACGGCGTCAGTTCTACAGAGGTAAGATACAGTGGAAATCCAGCAGCTGTGCATAATATATATTTTAAATACGTATCATCATACGCCATCGCTTATTATATACACATAGGTACCTACCAGAAATAATATAATACCATAGAAATTCACAGTAGCGATGGTGTTGCTGCATGTAACATATTTTATCCCCGTAAAATATATAAGACGCGTGGAAAGATCTGGCAAAGAGATTGGTCATCAAACGCGATATATGTACACGCATATTATTATGTAATAAACATGAATATATACAAACACAACGAATATAGCGTTTCCAATATGTTTATATATATATATATATATATATATATATAGGTGTGCACGGTACAATATTTTTACAATACAACTAGTGTGTGTACTACTGCAGTGTACTAGTGAGCTACGGTGTGTGTCAAAATATATTTAAATATTTTGTACTTAGTGTAAACAGGGTGTTTCTGGAAACGGATGAGGTCATTAATGTATTGTACTTGAGTACCTACCTCGATGTTTTTTCTATCTTAAAAATCTGAATTTATTCAAGTTCTTTATAGAATATTATCTAAAATGCAAAAATTAAGTCTCTATAGTTGTATATTTTGCAAAATTCTTATAAGAATAGATGTGTCACATCGTTTTTGCGCTTATCAAGCGTTATCCAAGTTCGAGTCAATGACTAAAAAAATGTCGTGTGAAACATCAAGTATGAGAATACCACAAGATATACAGTGGTGATAGTTATTTGTTGTCATTTAATATGCATGATTAATCTGCACAATGTTTTATATAATTTTATTTACTAGAAAAAAAATAATGAAATCACAGTAAATACTTATATTAGTGATATCATTGATTATAGAATAGACTATTTTATAATCAATAGTGATATCATCCATTTCAAAAACACCCTATATAAGTATATTATTTTCTACGTATTGAAACGAATTTATCGAAGTAAAGGTAGGTATTGATCTCAAGATTATAATATACGACGTCTGTGTACTATGTACATTGTACCTATTTCATAAACGAAAGAAAGATACTACGAATAGTTTATTTTTTTGATTATTTGCAGCAGTTATCTTTTGGCCTGAGGGTCTATATTGTACGCCGAAAAAATGCCTGTTGTACACGGGAAAAACTCTTAAAATAATTTCTTTATAGTTTGTACGGAGTACCTACTATAAACTCCTGTCTCATATAAAAAATAGCAAAAACTTGTTTACAAGTCGTAGTTACCACTTATTGAAATAAATAATATATATTCATTATGATAAACTGAACGTAAATTATTATTTTTAACTTTGAATACTCGTTATTATGATCCAAAYCAACTGTCACGTTTTTTATAATAATATTTTTAAATATTTTATTCAAGTTTGAAGAAAACTATTTGTATAGGTAACGCTGTTACATTTTTCCGAAACGGTCTGATTATTATACTGGCACTATTTTTATTTGATTGTATATTGATCTGTCTGAATGATAACCACTGCAAAAAACCAACCAGTACAATGAGTGTGGCATAAAAGGTTAAAAGGATAAAACCTAACCTTCTGTTCATAACACACAGGCTGATTACTGGTTCTTTTGATTTTTAAAAGAAAAATCATTAATTCTCGAAAAACATTGAAGTATTTGCTAATATAATTTTTAGATTATTTGATGTACACTGAAATATAATAACAATCATTATACTATTATATCGATATGATGACAAAAGTGCAAAAAATACAACATGCACTCTGACGTAATTATAATGACCACAAAACAGCAATACAGCGTCTATGCGAAAAGATTATTTGCGATTTATATACGTTATATATTGTAATATTATATTTACTATGCGATGTGATTCTCTGCGTATGTGCGTTAACCCCATTTTTCTATTTCTAAAACGCAATTATTCAAAATATGAGTTTCGGAATTTTCGGAATATTCAAATACTGCACCTACTCTATTGAAGAATGAAGATCATATTTTTATTGAAACTCTTGAAATTTTACGTAAAGGTACTAATAAACAATTAGTGTCTTCTGTAGAGATATGAACTTTTGTAGTCTTGTTTTTCTAAAGACGACCCCCATCCCCCTATTCCACTGTAAATAATTTTCCCAATATTTTTATTTTTTTTGAAAATTATGACGTGTCAAAATCGAAATTCAATCGATTATAGTTTTTGAGTAGTKTAACTTTTTGTTTACTTAGGACAATAGGATTACCACGGACTTATATTATCCTAATGTTTTGGAAGACAATATTATGCAGGACTATAATGGTAATTTGAAAGTTTTAGTAATTTATTCTTATCTATCGATGATTATAATTTATAAATATTGTTCAAGTATAATAAATACTAGAAACTATATTATACCTATATCTATTTTATATTTTTATCAAATTATTTTTCAATAAAAACTGAAAAATATTACTCATTCGAATGATGAGAAATAACTAGGTATCTATCTACATAAACATTTTGAAAACAATTATCTTCTAAATAATTTACAGTTTAAAATGGTTGTTGGTCGTCATTTGAAAAATAATTGTTTTGTATCGAAACAAACATTCGTTATTAAATAGTACAATACAATTTTCCTGAATTTTTCAATATATTATCATGGTCTTTTAGTATAATATTATTGAAAAATTGCAAAAGTCAGAATTTGAACGAATTAATTATTACAAGACAAAAAATGTTATGTGCATGCTCGGTGAATCACTACTCTGTTCATTGACGGGCGGACGTACTATGACGCAGTATTTTATTTTATTACGATATTAGGCGATATCGTCAACCATAAAATAAATTCGGTGGGTGTACCTAAAGTTGTCGAATCGATTTCAACGATATCCTCCAATTCAAATCTTTTCCTCGCCGTATATACTTCGCCCCATCTTTTATACATTAAACATCAGTACATCACACCGTGCGACGATGATGTAAGTAATCGTATATATAAATATAAATATATTTTACACAATGTTATACGGGAAATTAGCCGCCAGTTATTGCCGCAAGAGAAGCACTATTTATGTAACGTGCACAGTCACCCGATTTATACGCATTGGTATAACACAACGATATTGCTATTCGATATCAATAAATATTCTAATAAGTGAAAATATTGTACGCGGATCTCGTACGTGAAAATCTCGAATTCTTGTCACGCCTCGACAGAGGAATTTTTGATTAAATCACGATTGTGTAAGTATTTTTACGTATGCACTCTTTGAATCTGGTGTAATAATTATTTTATATAACTGTCGAAGTGTATGTATGTAGCTGTGCGGACTAATACAAATAATAATAATAATAATAATAGTCTATGACCACTGATATTTCTTAGTCCAGATGATTATTTTTTTTAAAAATATTTTTATGAAACAGTTACTGTGAAAACCTGTACCTACACTATATAACGCACATCAATTTGAAAGCTAGGTTTGACTTTTTTTCGTGTATAAGTCCGTACCAGTAATTACAAATGCCATCTGTAATATTATGATGAAATCTGATTCAATTATTCTTGTCGCAATAAATTGTAAAACTTTTGGAGACAACTACGACGAAAAAAAACAAGATCTTTTGAGGGGCGTATATCGATTGCGCCGAAATGACCTTTTTACCTGTGAAAAATCTATTGATTCCGCCGGCTATCGACTCCGCCGAAGTTTTCTTTTTATTGATTCCGCCGGTTAATATTTGTAAATTATTTATTTTAATGAAAACAAAATATAAAAGGCTTAAATTAATATACAATTAATTTTCAATTCACTAGTAAAAACACTCGTAGTCTTAGAGCATTACCTA